GAAGCGTCACCATGGCACCCCAACAACCACAAAGAAGACTTTGAAACCCAACTACCGCACTCCCGAGAGAGCCCGCAGGCACAAGAAAGCGGGCCGCAGGGACTCGCAGAGCAGCAATGAGTTCCTGACCATCTCTGACTCCAAAGAGAACATCAGTGTTTCACTGACGGACAGCAAAGACCGAACCAACCCTTTGCAGACAGATGAGAGTCTGCTGGATCCCTTTGGAGCCAAACCCTTCCACCCACCGGAACTGATGCGGCATCCTCAGCATCAGGGGTTTGGTGACAGCCGTGGGGATCATGGTGCAGTGGTAGTGGCTAGCAGGCCTCGGCAGAGCTCCTTGCTGGGACCGGTGCATGCTGGTGATGGGCTGAAAACAGATGATTTCGGTGCAGTCCCCTTTACAGAACTGGTTGTACAGAGTGCACAGAGTCAGCAGCAACAGGCACTAGAGTTGGATCCCTTTGGAGCAGCTCCATTTCCTTCGAAACAGTAAATGCTTCCAGCGGGTCCCTCCTTCCACCTCTCTGAGTTGCTTAGTAGTGAGTTCAATGAGCAGAATCATTTCTCTCTGATAGGGAGCTGGGCTGTACAGTTTATTCAAGTTAAAGAAGGCACGGCTGGCTTGCACGATGGAATGCAAAAGAAAGCAATTTTAAATTTTCTTTTGAGAGAAATTGAAAACTTTTGTTATGAAAGATGGCTCCCAGAACATAAAGAGAAGTGAGACATGAATTGGTGTCTGTTGCTGACTTTTGGACCTGGAAAATGTCATCCTGCACTTTTGCATCACCTTTTCAGCACTTGGCAATGTGCTGAAATGGAGGGAAGGGAAACAGGCAGAGATAACATGAAAAAGGTTTCCAAACTTATAGTTAGGCTGAAGGAACTGTGGTTCTTCTTTGTCTCAGTTGCACTAGACCTAAGAACCTAAACATACTAATATCCAGACTTATATGCTGGGAATAGTCAAGTCTTCACTTCCTAGATGAAAACTACCTTTGTTAATCATAAAATAATGAAGCTAGGTCATCAAGGAGCTGCAGCCCAGAATTTCAAAGCATTGCTGTGGCTTTGTACCTGGTAGACATCTATGCAGCTGCAGAGCTGAAAGGCAGATTATTTTTTGTGTGTGTGCCTAAATCTTCAATTTTATTTTTTACAGTAAGTGCCATTAATGTAATGTAAAATAGCAAACTGGAAGTCTAGAGTTAAAATGCAGATGCAGAGAACATAACAGTTTGTGAAATGGAATCTGAATGTAGAGGAGTAAACCAGCAGGGATGTAGCCAGTGTTTGCAGCACTTTTAAGACTACTCAGCACACTGGGGGAGAGGCTGGTGAGAAGGACATCTGGCATGGGTGGAGCATTTCAGAAGACTTGTACAGTTGACTGAAATGCACCATCGGTTTTATCTGATTACAAATTGGGGGTTGTGTCTGAAGATGCATTTTCTTTTCCTCTTGGATTTCTACCACAAAGAAAATGTGTGTTGTGTCCAAACTCATGTTGTTTTATAAAACGATAATTTTATGAAATGACTGTAACCTAACGTTTTCAACTTCTGATGGACCTGTTTCTGTATGTAAGTGTGTTGTTTTTGTTTTTGTTTTTTATGAAAGTTTTGCTAAATGCACTGAGCTTTGAAGAAACTTCTCTGGACCCGGCTTGGTTTCAGAAGCAGTAGCAGCAAGTAGTCTGCAGAATGCTGTTCCGTGCTGCAGCAGTAAGCTGCATTTCACACCGCAACGCCTTACCAGCAGGACTGCTGTCCTGCCACACAGTACCTCTAAGACATCGGGTGCACAGACATGGCTGAAAGCTTGGAGCTTGCAGTGCCAGTAGTGATGGGAAGGCAACGCGAACCGGCTTGTTGGAGAGATGCGGTTACCGTGTGTCGATGGTGACACCGTGTGCTTTGTAACTCCACTGCTTCACGACTCGAGCCGAGCCATGTACACTGGCTGCAGAGTGAGTGTACATCAGAGTGGTCCACTTTGCTTTGTTTCTATGGCAATCCTAAGGAAGTGGAAGGAGGCAGCTCCTCTGCTTGTCTTAGCTTTACGTCCTGCTCCACTGAATGTTGAAGAGCATTCCATGTTTATAAAAAGAGACCGTAAGAATTCATGGCTGATTCCTCCTGCCCTCCTCTCCTCACAGGATGTGAAGTGAAATATTGAGGGTTGTGCATTTTTTCTTCAAATTCTACTGCTGTTTAATGAGTTGTTTTGAAATTGGTGAGGGTAGGAAGTCGATCCCTTGAAATATTTGTTGAAAATGGCATGTTAAAGACAAATTCTTTTTCTCCTTTCAGAGCTGGTTTTGATAAAATGCTGCCTCCCTGGTCCTGGATTTTGAACTCATTCATATGTATCTGTACACTTGCAATTATCTTCCCTTTTTTTTCTTTCCTCTGACAAGGTGAAAAAGAAACTACAGCTCTGCTTGTTTAAGAATGACTTTTTCAGGCTTAGAAGTTAAGCTTTTAGGAGTATGTGAGTAGAAGTGTTTCAACTCTATTTGCACAGGAGTTTCTTAGGCTTTATTACTACTGTTCTCACCAGTTTGTTATTTTTTGTGTGTGCCAAAGGCTGTAAGAAGCGCACGCCGAGTCTGTAGCATTTTCTGATACTCAGGTTAACTGCGATTTTGTTGCTATGTGCGTGCTTATTAGCTGCCTTCCTGCAGTTTCCTTCTGAACTGTCACTATTCCGGCCTAAAGACAGCTGTTGGAACAGAATATTATGAAAAACGGGACAGATGGGTGGAAACAAAACAAGAATAAAGCAACAAGCAACTGACCCGCAGTCTTAAATACGGCCAGTCATCATTGGCACCATGCAGTTACTGCTTTCCTTGCTGGAAGAACAGCTTGAGGGTTGGCATGGCTGTTAGGTGCTTAGTGTGGGCTTCAATTAAGGTAAATTACAAGAAGAAAGAATCACATTTGATTTCTGTCTGATGACCTTGAAGTTTCAGGTTGAAGAGTGCAGCAGAATTTCTTTGTGTGGTGCATTTGTTTACTACTTTATTTTTTTGACAGAGGGCTCACACATGGTTTTATTACAGTACAGGGAAGCTGAAGTTGGATTGCGTACAATAACTGATAGGAGAGATGAAAGCAAACCTTAAACCCAAGTTACTCTGAAACTGGCATTGTGCCTCCAGCTGCCTCCGAGTTACAGCCAATGATACTTGCTTTCTCGTGGCCTTAATAAGCCTTGATCTTTGTACTTACATTTATGAAACTACTTTTTGCATACATGCAGTTTTTATGTTTCTTGAGTTAAAATGATTTTTTTCTCTCGTCTGAGATAAGTATGCTTCACTGCATCAACTTTGTGGTCTATTAAGTTTGCAGCCTGGGTTTAAGCTCCAACTATGGTTCAGCAGAGGCAAAGCATGGTACTGCTGGGGAACATAGTATCCTTTTACCTTTATTCAGCATGTAGATATCTCTACCTGTGTGCTTGTCGTTCCTGGAGTGTATTGTGACCTTACCTGAAATACTGGAAAGACCATGTGCACTTAGACTTGTACCATATGTCTGCGAAGATGATGATCACAAGGTAAGGAATTCACACTTCCCTTTCACCAGGAAATAGCAACAGGTTTTTAACAGTTCTTTCAGTCTGCTGAATGACTGAACCATAGACCTGTCAGAATCGGCTGCTTTGGGCAGTTTTTGTCAAAGGTACTAAGAAGCCCTTCATAGTTATGGTCACTGAAAGGAAGATAAGAGGGTGAGTTTCTCTGCAGACTCTCGATAGCCGTGAGATGTGCGGAATTGCTTTTGCTGACTTGTGTCACGTGGGACCTGCGAAAACCAACTTTCAAGGAAATAATTTTTAATCATTCTGGTTGTCCCAGTTAATAAAACTAAGTACTGTGAAAATAAGTTGGTATATTTGCTACTGTGAGAATAAGAGTTTATCTGGAGTTTTTTATACTATATAGTGTATTTTTATATATGAGAAATATATATAAAATATACACATGCTCGCACACATCGCACTGTGTTTTTAGTAACATTGCAGCCACAATCATTCTGATGAAACTAGGAAGAGTGAATAAGGGAAACCTGCAAGAGAAAAAAGTGCAAGGGGTGGCTGCTGAGTTACTTTTCTACAGCGCTTCTTTTCAAAGAAAAATTGAGGAAGTGGTGTGTATAGCTGAGTTTGTGACTAAGGCATCACCTAATATTAAAGAGCATAAAATCTATTTTAAAATTGCTGGCATTCAGCTTTTAAGTGCACTTTCCTGAACTACACTTCCATTTCTTGTTAGACTTCAAGTTTCTAAGCTTTTTTGTGTACCACTAAACAGAGTTTTGTGAAACTGATGTATGTCATAAATATTGCAGTTGTTAAATAAATAAACATGATAACAGTCACTTTGCAGATGTCCTTAAACATGGCATTATTAAGTACTCTCATTTAGGCTGTAAGCTATTCTATAAACAGTGTTGCTTCTCCTAGTTGCTTTTTGTGGCTGTAGGTTCCTGTTGATGTTTTTTAATGATGATTATATCAGCAGCCCACTATTGCCATCTCGGTTCAACTTGTTGATAATATATTAAGAATGTCCTTAGGTTCATTATTACTCCTTTAAGCCTTCCTGCTTTCAAAATGCTTTTGAAAGGACAGCTGCTAACTGAAGCTTTATCCCTTTTCAGGAGCCATAACTTTAATTTTCATTGCTAACTCCAGACTTAGTTCTGCACTCAATCTTACAGACATGTTTTTCACTTGATTTGACTCACTCTGCCAACTACTAGCCAGAGCAGCTTTTTGGTAACTGCTTCTACTGGTTTATTTCATATCTAAGCTGAAGAAAACCAACATTGTAGAAAGACTAGGAGCAGCAACAGAACATAGGTACAAAGTTGTAGCTCATTCATGGTTGTTCTGTCTTCTGCTTGTCACCCATTTCAAACATTGCGTGCAGCAATTCACGTGTCATCTGAGTTCTCTGTTAAAAGTGTTACAAGTAAACATCCAATGAACCAAAATTTATTTACAGGCTCAGTATTTACAGAAAAGGCCATCATGCAGTTTAATAAATTTTGTCAGGATAATAAAAACGTACAACTTAACAATCTTTTCTTATCCAGTGAAAACTGCTACAGTAGTAAGTTTGGAAAAAAAAAATTAGCAAATTGTAAAATAAGTATGTTTTCAGTACACAGTCACAGATTCCTCAAATGTTATTATTCACTTGTGTATTCACAATGTAACACTGAAAACAAGCTTTAACAATTGCAGGATCCTTGTCACACTTTAGCAGCAGTCATTAGTGCACTTCAAATTTGCTTTACTGTCAAGTTTTTTAAAAAAAAATAAATAATCAGTGTTTATACTGGAAGGCTCAGAAGACTGGGATTTGAACTTCAAATGCATTTAGTTCTTTCCAATAACTGTTTCTGGAGCTGGGAAGAAAAAAATCACTTAAGCTCAGTGAGGATTTGGTGACAGCGTTGCTCTCCAGCGTACCAGCAGAAGAGGAAGGGTCCTGCCTCCTCCATGCCTGGTACAAGGTAAATACTTGTCAGTAAATGACTATCACTGTTCCCTTGGCACGTTCCCTGTGTAGAAGGCTGAGGGGAGCTGGGAATGTTTTGCCCAGGACAGAGGCAACTTCGGTGGGACCGAACAGCACCCTGCCAGCCTCTAGGCTGGCACCCACTGAGCTTCATGCTGAGCACCAGGTATCTAACAACCTGCATAGCTCGTGTCTCTTTAGTGTTGGCATTAAACCAAGACATGGTTTAACTGCAGACTATAAAAACCCAAGGTTGTCTTTACTGCAGAAAGCAAATGGCAATAAATCACTTCAGCTAATGAAGTGTTGGAAGTACAGCAGGAGTCATTAAAAGGCCGAAGTTCAGTGGCTTGAAGTCATAGCAGTCTTACTACTCTGGGCTTGTTAATTACACCTACTAAAAGAACATGTAACTTACAAAAAAAAATCCTTTGCACTTCTACTAATTCCAGGGTAACAGCAAGTGTAAGACTACTCCTGAAATATTTCAGAACACTATTCAGAAGCACCAGAGTGGTGCAGAGAGATTTGTTGAAGTAATGGCACCACCTATACTTGAGGACACAATTTAAGATTTGAAATCAAGATAGATATGGTAGATAACATCCATCTCCCAGAAAAAGGGAAACAACTAGAAAAGTACAATACTCCACTGAATTTGACATTACACATTACTGTCCTGATGTTGAAGTGTACACACATCACTTAGACAATGATTCTGAAGGATGCAGCACCCTGTACCAATGCAGTTTAGAGCCAAGACCAGCCACTCAGTTAATCAGAGTTCTAAAAGCACTCTACTCCTGGGAGTGTGTCCTTTTGTTCTGTACTGCAACAAAACCTGAAGACATGGCATATGGGCCTGCTAGCTTAGCAATGGTATGCAATTCTGTTGTTTGTATTTACGAAGCAGGAAAATAATGCAGTGCTCCAAATGCTTAGTTCTACAGCCCACCTTTTTGTTGTCCCACTCTAAGAAAGACCTGCTTTGTACTTGATTGCAGAGCAGGAAATGATGAGAAGGAAATGAATCTCAGATCTCAGAGAGAACGGCCTCAAGTTGTGCCAGGGGAGATTCAGGTTGGATGTTAGGAAATACTTCTTCTCTGAGACAGTGGTCAGGTGCTGGAATGGGCTGCCCAGAGAGGTGGTGGAGTCACTGACCCTGGAGGTGTTCAGGAGATGTTCAGATGTTGAGATATTGAGATCCAGGCAATGCTGCTTTTTCCCCCAGCATTCCTGTTAATGTATCATCTCAGTGAGTAGGGTAACAGTCCAGAAGTTGGAAAGGAACTGCCTTAGTGCTTACTTTCATGGTTCTGCATATTTGTAAGGTTCAGGCTCCTGTAGTCAGAAGTTTCATTGCAGTGCCTCTGAAAGGCAGTTGAGGAAAGAAAAACTGTCAGTTATTACGCATAGGAAACATTAACTCTTACCTAACTGCCCCAGATCCCATGCATATTAGACTAAAAAAAAACTGACAAAAACATTAAGAAAAAGCTGCATATAAACAAATGTTGATAAGTGCTTGCAACTGTTGTCAGACAGAGCTGTTAGGGACCTAGCAGTGATTTGTCCAGCCTGCTCTAAAACCCTGCTTGAGGGCACTGCAGACTCACATAACGCAGCAGCCTGCCTGCTATCAAAGTAGCCGTTTGCTTATTCACAAGGAAACATTACACTAGTAAGCATTTTCTCTGGGGGAGCTAATTAAATTAATGGAACCAACTAATGGAACATTGTGACATGCTGAAAACAAGATTACTTAACTCTCTACTTGTTAAAATCTCATGTTCCCACAAGCACAAAGGCTATACCTTCACTCACAAGTCCACGCTATGCTCAGGACAGGGCTTGCTGTGTCGGTACTGCATGATGTACACTGCAGACTGGTGCCACCAGTACAACATCACTACTGCAAGGATGTGCCATATTTGGTGACTAGAGCCGAGGTAGTTGAGCTGTCCTGTGGGGAACAAAAACAGGAAGCAGTTGTTAAATCTGCATTAACTCATGAAAGGCAAGCAGCAGGCAGTCTATTCCCAAGCTCAGTCACATGTTCAGCTGGCTGGGAGACAGTCAAGTTCTTTAATGAAGAACAAAAGTCACCTGCTTTCTTTTGACTGAAGTGCACATCAAGTTTGAGTTCTTTTGGTGCCAATGCACGCTAAGTAGAACATAATCAACTGTACTCTCATCAAAAATTCAGGACTCGCAGGAAAGACTGTGACACTGCAGGAAGCTCAACTGCAGAAAAACACAACAGAATTTCATACCTGGAAAGTATCTTTCTGGAACTTTGGAAATATAGAAGAGAAATGCTACAGCAGCAATGAAATACATGACAACCACACGTGGAGCAAACTCCTGCAAAAGAAAAGGAAGCTTTCTTACTCTGCTCTAAGGTAAAAAATATTTTAAAATAATAATTTCAAAGTACATTTAAAAGAAAACAAAAGGTGTGACAAAATGGAATATTATTTTGCTGCTCACATTATCTATTGAGTAGAACAGAATCCAATTGAGAAACAAATGCCAAAACTTGTAAAAAGTCTGAATGGAAGGCCACAGGAATATTACAGATTAGACTGTAAGTAACCACACTAGCTGCTGGAAAGCAACCCACTCACTTGACCAGTTTTTTTGTTTGTTTGTTTTCAATAACAGAACGTTTTATTGCTGAAAGCAGAGCATTTTCTCTGAAGTGTGGAAGCAAAATGAGTATCACATCTACCATTCTGCTCTATCAGGACAAACTAATTGACTAACTGGAAAAAGCAGGGGCAGCAATGATTGCTTGCCTACTTGACTTTTACAAAGTGAGTGTTTCAGTACCTTGTCTGAAGACTGCATTTATTACCAGTGCTGCTCTTCCAAATTCAGCAGTAGCTCTGGACCAGGCTAAATCAGCATCCTAGAAGACAGTCCTCCTGAAGTGCCAATCTTAAGAACTTTCACAGGCAGTCACTTGCTATGAAAGCAAAGGTTTTTTTCAGTTCTGTTAGAGCCCTGGCTAATGGCTGTGATTCCTGGGGGAATGTTTTAAACCTTGGGGCACATTCACCTTCTTTAACAGTGCTGTACTTCCTGTTTTTCAGAGCTGAGTAACCTTTACCATAGTGGTAAAGCAAGAGAGGGAAATCAGTTTGGTAACTTAACAGTGATATTAAACAAATTATGTGTGAGAGACAGAAGGCTGTGTAGGCAAATGTCGATTTTGCCACCAACCCAGGGCACAGAAGAGGAAGAACTTCCCACCCATGTCTCCTGGTTCACCTCACCTCTGCAACCTGTGCATCCTGACTGACTGCTTCCCACTCGCCTGCTGACTCAGCTCTCTGCTCCTGCTCCTTGCCCTGAGGTGTGCAAGGGTGCGTCCGACCTGCACACACTGCTCTGCCCCTCAGGCAAGCACAACGTCGTGGTCATGTTTGCATCCAGGTGGGTCTTCTCACAGTTCAACTTTAAATCACTGAAACAGACTTCATCTATTCAACCTGTTGATTGGCTTTCCATAAATCTGAGCGTTCCAAAGGAATCCTGTGCTTTAAGAAATCGTCACTAGCTCTACTTCTCCCTCATTTCCAAAATGAGACCGAGGGAAGATGCTAAGTGCAAAGCAAAAGTAAATCTTATTTCCGTATTATTGTCTTTTACCTGTACAATAGCTGCACCAATGCCACCGTTGAGTGAAACCCAGTGGATAGTAGGAATAATGCCGTATCCAGACACTGAGCAAAAGATGATGGAGCGCAGCCTGCGCCACTGCTGTGTGAGGTAATTGGGATGAATCTGAACAAAAAATACTGCCAAGATCATTGCCAGCACAGTGATTAAGTACACCTGACGCCAGTACTGAGAAAAAAGAAATACAATTAAGTTTGTATGTTTGCTCATCTGAGGTAAACTCTGGGTAGAAAATCTATGTTACTAAACACAAAGATTTAAAATGTTCTCGTCCCTTCTGTGACCACAAATGACAGTGCTTGAATCAGGGTGTTCTTAGTAATCCAGTGAAGGGGAAGATGCTCTTACTTCACATCTATTTCACACGCTTCACCAAAACATGTATTAAACATAACTCTGTTATAACTACTTTAACTACCAGATCAATACTTTCCTGTACAGGGAGCACAGAAGGTATAAAAGTTTAGAATTCCAAAGCGATTTAAGCTTGTTTCCGCCCCATATAAATGCTGGGAGGAACATCCCATTATGGGCCTCATGCCTTTGACAAAGACAGGACCTGTAAAGTTCACACTGACTTTATAATAATTTAAATATTGTCTTGAGGCTTGTGCAATTGACAGCTTAAAAGGAATCTCTTAATCTTCTACTTCTGCAAGCAAAGTTCTGCACCTGTCCCCTGCCAAATGTGCCACCTGGACACCATGTGACAAAGCCCTTTCCCAACACGTGGAAACCATGGTGATGGGACCACAGAAACAAGTGACTCAGACTTACTTTACTACAATAAAATGCATAAAACACGCCTGATACGTAGCAGCCTAGGATACCAATGGAAATTCCTGCGTAATCTAATGCCATCCATCGTCGGCTGGTCTTCTCTGAGCGATGACAACAGAAGAGATGATATCCTACTGAGCAAAGCATACAGACCTACACAAATATATCAAAACAAGGACACATTAATTTCTTGGTAACAGACGGGGATTAATGGGGATTAAGCTTCAACTCTGAAGCTTAAGAGTCCAAAAGTAACCTGTTACATGTTCTACAGAACTACTTGGTGTAGACAGCTATGAGTTCTGCTCATAATCAGTGGAAACTAGCATAACCTCTTTTGCAGATGAAACACAAAACTTTGCAAGACTTGATAACCACAGGCTGCAGCTAAGGAAACGAGGGTACTGAGGGTACAAAAGTGTGCCAGTGCATATAGGAGCAGGGCCCACCTGCCCAAGTATGACCAAGATGAATTCAGTATGGTCCAGCTACAACAAGCAGAAACCAAAGCTCAAATCCTCGAATACCAGCACTCTGCAGCTTTGCTGAGGGTACACAGAAGTGACTAACCTCTGACACGCAGTACACTGACTTGGCTTCTTGGCTGGCATCAATTTTTTTCCCCCTGAGAAACAGAATCATAGAATATCTAGAGTTGAAGGGGATCCATAAACATCATTACATCCAACTCCTGGGTCCACACAGAACCACCTGAAGTCCAAACCCTATGTCTGAAAGCATTGTTCAGGTGCTTCTTGAACTCTTGACAGTTGTGTAAAATGCACAAGAACCCCAAGTCCAGCTGTATAATAACATCAAAGAATCATCCAGGTTGGAAAAGACCTCTAAGGTCATCTAGTTCAGCCATTGGCCCTATCCCACCTTATCAGTTGCTCAGCATCACAGCTCCACATATCTTGACCACCACCAGGGATGCTGACCCTATCACCTCGCAGTGCCAATGCCTCACCACTGTTTCTGAGAAGAAAGGTTTCCCAGTATCCAACCTGAACCTCTCCTGGCGCAACTTGAGGCCATTACCTCCTGTGCTACTGCTGTTATGTAGAAAGGGCCGATCCCCTACCTCATTACAATAACCTCCTTTCATGCAGCTGCAGAAAGCAGAGAGGTCTCCCCTAAGCCTCCTCTTCCCACACTAAACTATCCCAGCACCTCATCTTGTTAATATTCGTGCAGCTGGCCTCACCCCATTAATCCACAGCTGGTTTTTGTGCTCGAGCTGGTGATCAAACCGTCGCCATCCGCGGGCACAGCGCTGGACACAATGCCCAGCAGAAACCAGAACACAAAGCCTCGGCCTGCCCAGCCGGCGTTCTGCAGCCTCTCCTATGCCAGCCATGCTTCGTTCTTATAAGAAACGGTTCAAAATCAGCTCGGCCCCCGAGCCCATCTACCGCACGGCGCACAGCACGGCACCCCACCTGGAAGCAGAAGAGGCAGACGGCGCAGATGACGAAGTCCTCGCGGGCGGCGCGGGCGGCGGGCAGCACGACGGTCAGGTCGCGGATTCCAAGCGTGAAGAAGAGCAGGAAGCCCAGCAGGTGGCTCCAGATGTTGACGCTCTCGTTGGAGAGGATAAAGAGGCTGCGGGGAGACGCGGCGGGGCTGAGCGGGGCTCCGAGGCCCCGACCCGGCCCCGGGGACGGCCGTACCTGCGGAGGCAGAGGCGCGAGGGCAGGTAGGCGCGGTAGCCGTCGGTGATGTAGGGGTTGTCCCTCAGGAAGACGGGGATCTGCTCGTAGGTGTACAGACGGATGCCGCGCGGCAGCAGCACGGGCCAGTACTGGTAGCCGCCCAGCTCGATGTAGTGCGCGCTGCGCAGCAGCTTCTGCTGCATCCTGCCCGCCCCGCATCGGCACGCGGCCCTCCGACCCCGCCACGGCACCGCGCAAAGCCCGGCCGGCCCGGCTCGCGCACACCACGTTGCGGCGCTTTGCAACGGGTGGCTGGCGCGGGGAGATGACGTCAGAGCAAGGCGGAGTGCCCTGAGGTGCGCGGTGCTGCCGTCTGCTGGCCGGCGTCGGTCAGCGTCAGGCAGTCGCGCTTCGAAGGGAGGGAGCTATCTCCCTTCTAAGACGAGCCAGTCCTTTCAGAAGGATCGGAACGTGGCAGACCTGTAAGCAAAACGGGCCCAAAAGAGGCAATACAAAGTTTTAAAGTGCTGAGAGCCCTCGGCTTGCTGGAATTGTGCTGGCTCCGTGCAACAAAGAACTCGGCTTAGTTCATCGTGCAGCATCAGCTGGATACTTCTCCCCATGCCTGGCTCTGTTTCTGAGGTTGAAGACAAGAGTCCTGAATGGGGATCCTTGCTCATCATACACCCTTCCCTTCTGTGGCCTATGAATGTCTCCCATCTCACAGAATCACAGAATGGCCGAGGTTGGAAGAGAACTCAAGGATCATGAATCTCCAACCCCCTGCCACAGGCAGGGCCACCAACCTCCCCATTTACTTCTAGACCAGGCTGCCCAGGGCCCCATCCAACCTGGCCTTGAACATCTCCAGGGACGGGGCATCCACAAAAATCTGATTTAAACAAAACATAGAAGTGCCTCACCAGGATTCTATGGTGGGAATGGAATGTTTCCCATGGCAGAGAGATCTCCGCGGTAAGTAGAAGATGCAGGATGATGGGCATTTGAAACCTGAGAGTGATGATAAGGACCAGGTGTTCCATCCTAGAAGTAGCAATACAACCATTTTGATACATAGCCCCTCAAGCTGCACGTCACACTGTTTGGTCACACAAATTAAGAAGCTCATTCCTCTTTAGCTTGTCTTCCTTTCCATATGGCTTCTTTCTTTTGGGCTTTTCTCTAGCTTGCTGTTAGCTAAATTATTAATCCTACATTATTTAAAAAAAAAAAAGAAAAAAAAAAACCACCCAGAGAAAGTACATTCTGAAAGAAGATCCCTAAGCATAGTTTTGGCTGGAGGAGAGCAACCAAGATAGTACAGACAGCTATGTGCAGGATGGAGCACAGGATATCCCTTCATAGTCACATTGGGTACCGAGGAAGTATGGTGTAATACAACACCTTGCAGGGACACAGTGCTAGGAGCTGGGCTTGCCTGCACTCAGGAGGTAGCTCGGTGAGTCTCACATGTAATGGGGTCACAGGGGGACAAGAGAATCCAAACACAGTTTCCTGGAAACAAAATCTTGGGAAACCACAAAGGAGTTATTTTCAGCTTGGTTGGAAGGGAAGTAATTCATCCAGCACTAGATGTTTCTGTTCTGTGCTGGAAGAATTGTTCCACTTCCATCTGACCTACATCAGCTGTGCTAAAAATAGGAAAGCACCCTGTTTTGGTCAACAAATGCACTTGGAAGCTGAAACGTCTAAACTAATGGGACCCTGCTAATGAGAATGACCTCTAGACACCGGTAATCTTTACTAACCAGTATCCCCTTCCTTCTTCTCTTTTGAATGCCTAGAGAATAAAGGAGACTGTATTTATGCACACACATGCATTTAAAAGAATAAGGATATAGCTGCCACATTACTTTGGGTGAGAGAACCTTGACGATGCTGAGAGGCGGCTGCTGTTGTAGGACTGAGCAGGAAAAGCAGGCAGCATCCTCCCCAGCTCCTGCTGATAAAGGAGATTCATTGTTCACTTGAGTTGTGAAATCAGTGTATTCACTTTCGTCAGGCCAAATGCAGCTTAGAAAGTTGCTACCAGGTTAAAAGTGTAATTTAGTTTTAATTGTCCATTGGATCATTAGCTCATGGAGAACATTATACCTGGGAAAGAAAACAAAAACAAAACAACAACAAAAAAAACCACCACAAAACAAAACAAACTGTTTTCAAGCTTTGTGCAGTTTAAGTTAGACCCCGAGTGCTTCAAAGAGTTCAATCAGAAGGAATCAGAGCTGACAGCACTTTCTTTTTCTTTCTTTCTTTCTTTCTTTCTTTTTTTTTTTTTTTTTTTTTAAGTAGCTTTAATTGGCTCTGAAGTTTAAGCTTCGAAGCTTTGATAGAAGAAATGTTACAGCTTCAGTTAATAGGGAATATTGAGAAACAATTAGGGCAGCTTTAAATTAATTACTTAGACTATTTATTTTGAGCTTATTGAACAATTGTGTTATATGTGTAAGAGATTGAAATTAGCCATCTGGGCAAGATAGCTTTGACCTAAATTGACCTTTTTGGGTAAATACCTAGCTTGCCCTAATTCCTATGCTGTAGCCCTACTTCTACTGGCAGACAAGCTTAATTGGGAGTAACAATAAACGTCCATGAGAAGTTCCATGCTTCTCTGCTGAAACTCAGATCACCTGTGTGAGCTTCTAAAGAGAAACCTGAGGAAGTCACAAATGGCGGAAGCTGTTTTTCTGTTCCTGTTATTCTGTCTCTGTATTTTTGTTAATAGTTTCAAGCTAGAAGAGGAAGTTTAGATTGTAAGGAAGAAATTTTTTACAGTGAGGGTGATGAGGCACTGGCAAAGTTTGCCCAGAGAGGTGATGGAAGCCCCATCCCTGGACAGATTCAGAGTCAGGCCAGAGGGGCTCTGATCACCCCATCTAGCTGCGAGTGTCCCCAGTTATTGCAGGGGAGTTGGGCTAGGTGTCCTTTAAGGGCCCCTTCCAACTCAAACGATCACGTGATTCGACGATTACAGTTTTGTCAGAAGAGTTTGTGGATATCTTTGGTTGGACTTTGCTTCCAAGTCATTTCCTCCCTGCTTTTCTCTGAAAAGAGCAGTGCAGAACGAGGCAGATGTTCGGTGCAAGTAGCTCTGGAAAACTCAGGTACCGCTCTGCGAGGTGTTTCGTGGCTCGTCCTGCAGGTGTCACTCTGGCACTGTGCTATCAGTACAACATCCGCATTCCATCCTGGTGGGACGGCGTTTGCTGTACTCGCCAGCTCAATTAGCTGCCTCTTCATTGACTTCCTAATTAGCAAATAACCGGTACAGCGACTTGGGTTCTCATCCCGCAGACCCCTATTAGTGTAAGATCAGTGCTAGAACAGGATAGAAAGTGTGACTTGCTCTCGGATTCCGTTCTTAAATACTTAGCACGATATCCCCCAAGTGTGAGTTGTGGGGACCTGGCTCTTTGTAAATTTGTTGTGAGCAAACAAGTGGGAGGCGGCCTGAGACTGCTTTTCCCACTGTTGGAATCTGCTCCCGTGGGAGAGCCCGTCTTGCTCTGAGCTCTTCGGAGCAGACAGTTCAGTGCCTGCGAATGAGATCTGTCATTAGGCTGACCTTAGCTGAGGAAATGCATTTGGGAGCGCTGGCGGAAGGTATCGAGTATCTTCCTTTGCATAACACTCGCAGCCTGGAGACTTTGTCACCGCTGTGTCAGAGCATAGCTGCCTTCTTATCTGCCTGTGTATAAATACATTCATGTTTTCCCTGGGGGTGGCAGGAGGTACGTCTTGTCCCAAAGCCTGTGTATGAGCGTGCATTTCAGTGCAAAGCCTGTGAATAAAATATAGGCACTGGTTTATGATCATAGCCGTCATGCATTTATCCATGTGCATAAAGCACTTTTAGTTCTGAATGTATGTGCAAAGAAGGCTTGCAAATGGCTATGGGCAGAATGCATTTACCGACTGCTACACTGGGAGATACAGTTATTTAAAGCCTCTTGTTATCTAAACCAGATATATCCTCCCATATCTTTTCTTGGGAGTAGCCAAAGTATCCGTCAAATTAACTATTTCCTGTTGGTATGTGGTGTAGCTACATATGGGAAAATAAGGTTTACAGCTTTGTAAAGTCTTTAAAAGAGTGGGGGGGGAAAAAATAAATACTCAGATAACCCTAATCCACACACTGCCTTCAGGAGAGAGCATTAGGAATGCAAGTACCTTTGTACGCATGATAACTAGAGTGATCTCCCTGCTGAGATAGCTTGCTTTCCAGGCCTTCCTCTGTGGAGTTGCATCTTTCTCCTTTGCATTTCATCTGCAGGGTTTGAACAGTAAAGTTCTCTGTGGTCTCCTATACCACTCTCCTCAGCACAGAACTGGAGCAGCTTCCAGCGCTGCCCGAAACAGAACGCCTGACATCTGTCGTGGGGGCTCGGGCTCTCTTTTCCTCTCCCCATGGAGAGATGCATGTGCAATGTGTGCAGTGAAGTGACTTGCTTTGGTAGGGCTCTTCCTTTTTTTTTTTTTTTTTTTTTTCTTTTTTTTTTTCTTCCTTTTTTTTTTTTTTTTTTTTTTTGGCATTTCTGTTTTCTGATTCAATCCCTTTGGCTTTCAGTTCCAGCTTCTGAATCTCAGCATCTGTCAGTGGTGCGATAAATTCTCTTTGGTGATAAGAGAACAGCTGCCAATAGCAAGAGCAAGAATGGCATTTGGGCTTTTTCCTGCCGTGTGAGAGCTTGCAGTCAGCAAAAATGCACTGTGCACACAATGGAAGAAGGCACTTCTTCTGCCCAGCCTACCGTTAT